CCTTAACCGGCAATCGGCAGCTATAACAAGCAGCAAAACTTGCTACTATAGTTGCCTGTTTGGCAGCTATTTAGTTGTCGGCTCGGGTCGATAAGGCCCAATCTGAAAGATCAGGTCGAGTCTTAAATTTTTGGTTGAGTTTTTGCTCGGCTCGGCTTGGACCAAAAAAACCTCGCCTTAAAAAAGTTCAAGCCGACTTGACTTGACTCAACTCATTGACAATCCTGGATGAGAAAAATAGTGAGTAGAAGGGGAAAGAAGGAAAAATGAAAAAGCAATTTATATAACAAGGTTTTCATTTTATTTTAGAAGAATTATGTCTTGACATTTTCTTCAAAACCGGATTTTGATAACTCAAGAGGATGAATTTGATCACCCTGTCGGTATGTCAAAATAGGTGAATCAGATCGAATCGATCTCATTCGTTCAACTTAAGTTTAGACTGAATCGCATCATAGAAATATATGATTCGAAATACGTTCAGACTTTTTTCTAAATGAAGTTGTAGACAGACTGGCTGTGGGACTCGTTAATACAGTTGTGCGTCGGTCTTGGGTGAATTTATCCTTCTTACTTTTCCTTTTCAATTAAATTTTGCCCTTAAAAAATATCTTTTAGAGAAACAATTTTGTAATTTTGAATCTCTCTCTATAGAAGACTTGAATTTTGTCTTTGATGTCTAATAAATCAACGGTGGTTATACTGCCACCACAATTTTTATTTGATACACCACATTTTAATTGTAATTAAGTTTCTCAATCTTTGCTCATTTTAACAATTATCTCAACTTTTTTCACCGAATTTTTATCTTCAGCATTCCATTAATTAGTATGTTTCATCCTTGACGATATTTTAATATCAAAATATTTTGTTTTCATACCTTGAAATGAGGAAAAAATATTTTTTTCGTACTTTTTATTTATTTATTTATTAAAAATATAATGAAACATGTTGTTTTACTTCATTTCAACAAAATTTTGGGCGCACAACTGTTATCAAATACAATATTTGTTAACTAATAGAAAGTCTGAAGATAAGAATGATGTGAAAAATCGTTAGGAACATAAGTATTATAAGGAACAGAGATTAAAAACTTTAAGTACAATCAAAATATGGTGCAAAAAATAAAAATTATGGTGTGAATATACCTATAAATCTATTGCAACATCATGAATATATATTCTGCCCTTCACATCATCTTCTGGATCAGAGAAATAGCCTACAAATCAAAACAAAAAGAGCCCTGCTTCTTGGATCCATCCCATAGAGATGAATTATATTTTATTCAATTTTTTGAGATTTTGTTGAAAGTTCAGTGACTGCTAATGAAATACCCACAATGGGACATAAAAGACCAAAATTCTGTTCTACAGCAATTAATGGATATATTATTTGTTAGCTGAAAGAACTATTGTATATGAATCGTCTTTAGCCTCCATTCCTTTTCAAATTTTAATGATTAAAATAGTTAATTTTTTTTTTCAATGTGTAGTTGAAAAGGAATGATTTTTTTATTTATTTACGTGTAATATTATTTTGTGAAAGATTATGTTGTTGAAAATAAGAGAGAAAAAGAATGAAATAGAGAATAGGGGCCAAACGGAGTATATGCAGATCGATTATTCTTTCTCCTTATAAATATATTTGATTGGTGTCACTACTTGGATTCGTGACCCAGTCATAGGTTCAAGACAGTTGATTAGTATTTGCGTTCTTATGTTCAAATTTTTATCTCATGCACGAGTGTAGGGCACAACAATCTTATTCACATTTTCTTTTCGATTTTTAGCCCCTGTTTGTTTCCATTTGTTGGAAGAAAAGAATTCATTTTTTGCCCTTTTTTTGCCAGTATTTCGGACCCAGTGTGAGAGAAGAAATCAACAATCATGGTTAACGCTGTCTTGCAACGGTAGGAAAATGGATTATAATTGGGAAGAAAAATTGGAAACAAATGGGGGCTTGATTTCATGCTTAACTTTGTGTTGTTTTCTCGCGATATTCACCAGTTTGTCGAAAGTTTTCGTGTCATATAAACTTATAATTTTTATTATAACTTTAGAGCTCTAAATACCATACACTTAAAAATTTCAATCACATTTTAAACCCTAATCCTATTAATTCATAAGAGAAATTAGGGAGGGGGGGGGGAGTATTTTACAATGTTTTCATTTTATTTTAGAAGAATTATGCCTTGAAATTTTCTACAAAACCGGATTTTGATAACTTAAAAGCATGAATTTGATCACCCCGTCGGTATGTCAAAAAAGGTGGATCAAATCGAATCAATCCCATTCGTCCAACTTAAGTTTAGAGCCTGTTTGGCTTGGATTAAAATTTGATTTTAATCTAAATCAAAATTAAACAATCAATATTAACCACATATTTTCAATTACACATTTTAAAAATTTCTATTACAATCTACTAAAAAATTTAATTTTAATTTTCACCAATCACCCTCTTAGACTTAGACTGAATCGCATCATAGAAATATATGATTCGAAATACGTTCAGACTGTCATCTAAATTAAGTTGTGGACTGAGTGGCTGTGGGATCCGTTAATATTGTGCGTCGGTCTTGCGTGAATTTATCATCCTTCTTACTTTTCCTTTTCAATTAAATTTCGCCCTTAAAAATTATCTTTTAGAGAAACAATTTTGTAATTTTGTAATCTCTCTCTTCAGAAGACTTGAATTTTGTCTTTGATGTCTAATAAATCAACGGTGGTTATATTGTCACCACAATTTTTATTTGATACACCACATTTTAATTGTAATTAAGTTTCTCAATCTTTTCTCATTTTAACAATTATCTCAACTTTTTTCACCGAATTTTTATCTTCAGCATTCCATAATTAGTATGTTTCATCCTTAATGATAATTTAATATCAAAATATTTTGTTTTCATACTTTGAAATGAGGAAAAAAATATATTTTCCTACTTTTTATTTATTTATTAAAAATATAATGAAACATGTTGTTTTACTTCATTTCAACAAAATTTTGGATGCAAAATTGTTATCAAATACAAAATTTGTTAACTAATAGAAAGTCTGAAGATAAGAATGATGTGAAAAATCGTTAGGAACATAAGTATTATAAGGAATAAAGATTAAAAACTTTAAGTACAATCGAAATATGGTGCAAAAAATAAAAATTATGGTGTGAATATTATAAATCTATTGCAACATCATGAATATATATTCTGCCCTTCACATCATCTTCTGGATCAGAGAAATAGACTACAAATCAAAACAAAAAGAGCCCTGCTTCTTGGATCCATCCCATAGAGATGAATTATATTTTATTCAATTTTTTGAGATTTTGTTGAAAGTTCAGTGACTGCTAATGAAATATACCCACAATGGGACATAAAAGACCAAAATTCTGTTCAACAGCAATTAATGGATATATTATTTGTTAGCCGAAAGAACTACTGTATATGAATCGTCCTTGTTTGGCCTCCATTCTTTCCAAATTTTAATGGTTGAAATAGTTTTTTTTTTTCAATGTGTGGTTAAAAAAGAATGAATTTTTTTTTATTTGCGTGTAATATTATTTTATGAAAGATTATATAGTTGAAAATAAGAGAAAAAAAGAATGAAAAAGAGAATGGAGGCCAAACAGAGTATATGCAGATCGATTATTCTTTCTCCTTATAAATCTATTTGATTGGTGTCACTACTTGGATTCGTAACCCAGTCATAGGTTCAAGACAGTTGATTAGTATTTTGCATTCTTATGTTCAAATTTTTATCTCATGCACGAGTGTAGGACACAACAATCTTATTCACGTTTTCTTTTCGATTTTTAGCCTCTGTTTGTTTCCAATTGTTGGAAGAAAAGAATTCATTTTTTGCCCTTTTTTTGCCAGTATCTCAGACCCAGTGTGAGAGAAGAAATCAACAATCACAGTTGGCGCTGTCCTGCAACAGGAAAATGGATTATAATTGAGAAGAAAAATTAGAAACAAATGGGGGCTTGATTTCATGCTTAACTTTGTGTGGTTTTCTCGCGATATTCACCAGTTTGTCGAAAGTTTTTTGTGTCATATAAACTTATAATTTTTATTATAACTTTAGAACTCTAAATACCATAGACTAAAAATTTCAATCACATTTTAAACCCTAATCCTATTAATTTTGTTGCGAGTTCAAAATACCATACAACCATAAAATCTCAAATTTTTTTCCTAATTAAACTCTAATTGGTTGATATTTTTGAGAATAATGGCTAAACTTTTGGATTAATTTTGAATATTCTATTTCTTATATATCTAAGAAAGTTCTTGATTAATATATTCACGTGCTTAAAATTCTAAATATATTTGACATGGCATAGAAAAATCAATAGATATTGATGTCAAAACTCGTTCGACACTCTAAATGTACAAAATCGCTTCATGTATTTTATTTCGCGATTTCGATTGACGTACGATATACTTGCAAAGCAATACAATAGAAATCCCCTATGCCTCCCAAACCACCATTTTTTTTTTTTTTGAGAAAATAGATTTTATAATTTAGCAAAATGTGTGATTAGAAATAGGAAAAAAGTTTCAAGTTTATATATAAAATTATATTATGGAAGATTGTGCGTTGAAAATGAGTTTTGAAAAAAATGGAGTCGAAGTATAAACACAACAGTCATGCTACTTATACAGAATGTATTTTCCAACTTAGTTTATAATGCATGAGTTGGCATACTTCACATCCATCTATTTGAAAAATCGTTTTTAAAATCAATGACCAGAATTTTTTCAATACACTTATTGTCAATCAAGTTATGCAAAACTGCAAATACATTGTACAAGTGACTTTATTCATAACTCCTCTTATCTTATCTCTTAATGTATCGTATTACGGGTGAATTAAGCTATCAACACCGTGCATTACGATTACATACATTTCAATTCCTTTGATATGTGAATTCTACACATTATAAACAAAGATTATCTATACAAATTAAATAAATAATTCAACTCTTAAAGACTTAAACTGTATTCATTTTCGAGAGAATCCAAAGCCATTGGCCAAAGCATGAACAGCAGGATTGAACGATAGTCGCCCAAGAATCCCTTGCTTGTAAGGCAAAAATGTTTTCTTCTTCAAATCTTCAGAAACCGATCGATTTATTGTATAATGTAATTCATGAGCTGAAACCGGACCTCTTCTTCGGGTGCCGGATCCCGAACCCGAGCTGTCAATTGTTCGAAAGCTCGAATTCTTCAAATCTTCATGTCTTCTGAAAGGCACTGCTGTGTATTTCTTCAAAGGATCTTTATCAGATGCTCGGCCTTCGGATGCGCTTCGGAATAAGAAAAAGTCCTTAAATCTCCATTTCTTGTGACCTTTCGAGGATGAAGATGACAAAGATGAACAAATATTTTTAGGTTGCACAGAAACTTCTGAAATAGTACTAATGTTTTCTTCTTGCACACGTTTCGAAAACTGAAGCTCTTCTCCCCAGGGATACTGGGAATCTCTTAGTGGAGAAAGTGATCGTGTAGCTCTTCTGCTTGATGATGAAGATAAGTTAGAAGATCTCTGTCTTCCTCTTTCCGGCTCCGGTTGCAGCGTTTTAGTGGCGTTTCGAGCAGCAATTTCAAAAGGGTCGTCGGATTCTTTCTTGTTTCTTGGTGAAAAAACATCCTTAAAAATCTTTTTACCTCTTGGCGATTTGGGTTTAATTCTTGCTCCAGGAGGAAGTCGCAGCCGAGGCGGCGGATTTAGTGTCAGAGGCTTAATTACGCCGCCATCAAAGAGCTCTTCAGCCGAAAGAGAGGCAGTTTCCGATTCCTCACTGATGTCAAAAGCAAAATCAAATGGAACACCACCCCCACCATCACCATCACCACCGCCACCAGCACCGCCACCACTAGTGACCATGAATTCGTCGAAATCCCGGTAAAACTGCGACAAATGGGAAGGACTAGTAGGAGCGCTGCAATAGTATTCCCCAAAACGCTTTGGAGTAGAAGGTGCACTAACAGATGGTGAAGATCTTGCACTGTTGAAATCAAAATCCATCTTATCAGCTGGAATCAAAACCTCCATTTTTGTTTTTTTGTCCGATATTAAAGATGAAAGGTTAGCTGTTATGGGGTTTGTTTCTACTATAAAAAGAGATCGGGAACGAAGAAAGGAGGAGCACAAAGCAATTGACTTTAGCAGATATGACAAGCCGCCTTCTATTACTTTTTGTGAGCATTTGTCAAATTTTGGTGGCATTACTTTCATCTGTTAAATTAATTAACAACGATACATCCACGTACATGTATAAAAATTGAAATGTAATAAATATCAGTCAAAGAAGAATCTTGAATATGTTTTAAATTTATTAGTTTCTAGATGGGGTTATATTAGGAAAATGACGATAATTTTCAGGGAATTAGAAAGGATGACAAAAAAATAAAATAAAAATAAAAATAAAAAAACCGGAAACGAGATTAGCTACCTATGAAGGACCTATTTGCAAGGCTGGGCAAATCTCCCGAACCGAACCTGACGGTTCTTGTCAAATTAAATACCTAAACGGGTATCTGAATTGAGAATCGACGGGTACGATTCGGTTCTCAGTTCTAGACCAAGAACCGAAAAACCAAATCTTTCTAATTTTTTTTTATATTGAATAAATCAAATTATTTTAATTTTAATTTCTTCTAAACCAATTAACAAATTATAAATTCAAATTTTTGGCCCAATATTTGTTTCATTTCTAATTTTTTTAATTTTTGGCCCAATTATCCATTTTATTGTTTCATTTCTTAGCCCAACAAGATCCAATCCATTAAATAACCCTAAACACCTACACTAAAGTGTATAACGCTGTCTTGACTCTCGCAGCCTCCCTGACATTCGAAAACCTATACAATCGTCGACAGACGCTGTGACCACCGCCGACCGAAATTTTGACCGTATTGATCATTTGAACAAGGTAGTCTACTAGTCTCTGACATTTCAAAACCATTGAATGTGTCATTAGTTGTATTTATATAATGTTGTTATAAATGTTAAAAAATTTAATTATGGTACAGAACCGAATCGAATCAAACTGAACCAAATGGAACTGAACCCGAACGGTTTCATAATTATATTTGGACCAGACGGTCCAATTTACTAGATACCCGAAAATTTTGAATCAATTCGATTCTCTTTAGGACCGAACCGAACTACCTACGCCCACATCTACCTATTTGGTAGGAATTTTGCATTTTGTAGAAGAGATTTCTAATGAAGTTACTTTATGCAAGGCTTATCTAAAAGCTTTTTTAGTCAAAACTTCTACAAAATTATCCGAATATATTCAAAAACAGCTTATTAGTCTTAAAAGTAGAATTTTGACTTTTCAAGAGTCGTCACATACAGACCTATGGTGGATTTGGTAAAGTATCAACGCAATGGCTTAAAAATCAGAGTATTGTTCAATCACTTCGAGTGTTCTTTTCCCGGTTTGGATGTCCTTTAACCGGATTTTTATGTAAACTAGATCAATAGGGCTGGACAAAACTTTCGAACTAAACCTGAACCGAACTAAACCGAACCGACGGTTCTTCTCAAATTAAATACCCGAACGGATATTTGAATCAAGAACCGACGAGTATGGTTCTGTTCTGGTTCTAGGCCAAGACCCAAAGAACCGAATAAGAACCGAATCTCCTTAATTTTTTTAATTTATTTATTTTAAATAAGCAAAATTATTTTATTTTTTCTAAATAAATTTGTTAACTAGTTAATTTAGTTCAAACCACAAAATATGATTTTTCTATTTCTAATTTTCAGTTCAAAATCAATTTAATCAAATTGACCTCAATTTTATTCAAATCTGTTACTCTACTGTAGTGTGGTTTCTACTGGAGAAAATCGATTTAAAACTCTACAATGTCTCTCTTAATTATTTTGAGCTTGTTATCTTTCTCTTCCTGTGATTTTAATGATCAAATTTATGAAGAATTCAGCAAAGAGAGACGTAAAAGACATATAGATTGGACTACGTTATTTTGTAAGAGCTAATATTGAATATATCATTAATTAAATTAATGTAATTTTGTATATATTAAAAAATTTAATTATAATACGGAACCGAACCGGATCGAATCAAATCGAACCGAATGGAACCGAATCCGAACGGTTCCCGTACTAAATACCCGAAAATTTCGGGTCGATTCGATTCTCATTAGAATCGAACAGAACCGGACCATGTCCAGCCCTACAGACCAATATGAACGGATTGACTTTTTGTTTTTAAATTATTATTATTTTTTTAACAATACTCAACTGGTTTTAGCAGTATTTCACAGGTTCATGAACTAGTTCAATAGAAATCCAAACTAGTGTTTTGGACAGTTGAGCAGTTTCTGATTTGATGCTTTATGAAAATGTAGATCGCCGGAATGAACTCCTCCGCTCAGATGACTTGAGAAAAGAGAGAGGAACTTTGCCCGGCCGATTTCCCCTCCGGTGACTTGGATTTACCCTCTATATATTTTTATATTTTTTATAAAAATGTCAGTTTTAAGTTCGGACAGAATCCTGTCCCCATCTTAAAAGTTAGGTGAAATAAATCACTTTCATGCCACTGCTAACCTAACTCGAGACAAATTGAGAACAATGACGTTTGTGGCCGTATTGTCAAAAGGTGGTAGCTCCAAGATTCTTAATTTACAGACAACAAAAATTTGGTGAATTTTCGAGGGAAAAAAGTCACATGTTAAAAACTAATTAATTATTATATAATAATGAAAATTAATTATTTCTTTTTCTTCCTTTCTTCTTTGTACGAAGAGGCTTACGCCTGCCCGTTTGGCCTCCATTATTTCGATTTATAATTTTTGGAATAATATTTTTTGAAGAATGTGTAGTTCAGAAAGAAAGAAAAAATTTCAATTTACGGACAATATTATTTTATGAAAGATTGTGTGATTGAAAATAAGAAAAAAATTATAATTTGAAATAATGGGGGCCAGACGGGGCTTAATTTCTTCGCATTAACTCCAAAGTGATTTTGAACAATTAAATACTATGCTATTTTCTTTATGGAAAAAATCATGTTCTCACTTTGTTTTACTAAAATTTGTTCACAAGACTTTTTTCAAATATATCTCAAAGTTGACTACTTGCCATTCACCAACGTAATAATGTCATTTTTCACCTTACCCTTCTAGAAAGTTCATAATAATTTAGCAGTTGAGTGCTCTTGGGCAGAAGATTAATTAGATTTATGTATTCAAAAAACACGTACGTTCGCAACCATAATAGTAAAAGAAATTAACCAATTTTTAATATAAAATGAGAAAAATGGAAAATACATAGTGAAGGTGTGGGAACATAGTGTCATACACCAACTTGCTACATTTGTTGTCTTTATTTGGGATGGCATATATGAATGTTAGTCCTTTCAGATTAGGACCTCGTTTGGTAGTGTTTTTTCACCGTAAAAAATTGATTTTTGACCTTTATTTCACTATTTTAACTATTATTTTGACTTTTTCATTTACAGGTGACTCCTACTTTTCTTCCTAACAATCAAAAAATCAATTCTCATAATAACTACCAAACGACCCCTAGATTTTGGGACTAAAATTGCCTGTTAACGTACAATATGGATACCACTGGATTTATTGAGAATTAGAAATTCTAATTTTATTTTATTAGAGCATTAAATCAACATAAAGAAATAAAGATATAATTTTTTTTTCGAGTTTCACCTTAATGTGAATCATCTTTGTGTGAAACGAAGTTCTTCTTTTGTCACTCCAATAATTTGTTATGATGAAAAGAAGTTTATAAAAGAAATTCGGACATATATATTTTCTCTAACATCTTTTCTATTTTTTATGATAGTAATACAAAAGACTATTGACTGTTCCTTATTTATAAAACAAATTAGGCTAAAATTAAAATTTAAAAAGACAAATTACTAAGATGAAATTTACAATGACACAAATTCCTAAACTATCCTAAATGAAATTTTGGTATCTTGCCCTCCTGTCAACTCCCACAACGATCACCCAAGCGGAGGTAAAATTTATAGAATTTTACCTTAGTATGAGACTAAGTTCTTCTTACTCCACCACAATAATTCGGTATAATGAAAAGAAGTCGCCCCCAGGGCACATCTCCAAGTGGTAAAAGGGGAGGGTGGAGAAATCCAGCTTTGCTTGAGGCTGTCGCGTCAAAAGTTCGAATCCTGAAATATGGATTTGGCTCTTGAGTAAGTGTAAGTGTACAAGCAGCCTTCCACCCTATACCCTTGGAGGCATAACCTGCGATTTACCTCTCCCACGATACTCCAGGGCAGGGGCAGTGGCGGACCCTTAAGGTTGGGGTTCAACCTTTTTTTTTTTTTTTTTATAATGAAAAGAAGTTTAAAAGAGAGATTACATGTCTATCTTCTCTGACATCTTTTCTCCCTTTTATAATTGTAATACAAAAGCCTATTACAAGACAAATTATGGTAAAATCAAAATTTAAAAAGACACAAATTATTGAGACGAAATTTACAAGGATACAAATTCCTAAACTTTATCCTCAATAAATTTTTTTATCTAAGGATGATTTGGGTACCTGCCCTCCTTCTAACCCCACAACGACTTCCCCACAAATGTCGATCGACATATTGATTTCGCGGAGGGATAATAATTAGGCTCCACAATTACTCCTATACGAAGGCAATTTTATATATTGAAACTCAATTATTTTATAAGGTTTCAATTAAATTGCGTTTCATACAGTGCACCAATTTAATTTTGTGGCCAACATGGCAGCGGATATATTGCCACATAAAAATATTGTCATTCATGTGCGCTTGCCTTTAATTTGTATTGATGGAATTGAGAAGAGTGACTAACGATAAAGAAAATGAAATTTTAGTCCTAAATTTATAATAAAAAAAGTTCAGTTACCAGGATAGGGCACACCCTTGAGTTCCCTTCCTAACCACGATTTTAACCTCATTTTTAATTGGGAAAATTGCAGTCGAGGTACCAAACATTTCGTTTATTAGCAGACTTTACTCAAATCTTTAGTTTGTACCACCCACAGTCCCAAACCTTTTA